AATGTGGTACGTATACATGATGGAGTATTATGCAGCTATAAACAAGGACAAAAGTATAGACTTCACAGCAACTTGGATAGATTTGGAGTCTATAATACCCAGTGATCTATAACAGAAACAAAGAACCGATTACCACATGTTCTCACTCATAAGTGGACCATGACCATTAATCATAACACTATAAGAAAGGGATTGGGGGCGCTGCCTGCCGAGGTGGTAGCCATCTCCTACCCGGCATCATGGCTGCCCTCAGACCCCTGGTGAAACCCAAGATCATCAAAAAGAGGACCAAGAAGTTCATCCGGCACCAGTCAGACCGATATGTCAAGATTAAGCGTAACTGGCGGAAGCCCAGAGGTATCGACAACATGGTGCGTAGAAGATTCAAGGGCCAGATCTTGATGCCCAACATTGGTTACGGGAGCAACAAGAAAACAAAGCACATGCTGCCTAGTGGCTTCTGGAAGTTCCTGGTCCACAATGTCAAGGAGCTGGAAGTGCTGCCGATGTGCAACAAATCGTACTGTGCTGGGATTGCTCACAATGTTTCCTCCAAGAACCGCAAAGCCATTGTAGAAAGAGCAGCCCAGCTGGCCATCAGAGTCACCAATCCTAATGCCAGGCTACGCAGTGAAGAAAATGAATAGCCAGCTCGTGCATGTTTTGTGTTTAAATAAAACCATAAAAACTGAAGAAAAAAAAAGAAAGGGATTGGCAGTAGCAGGACACTGCTGGGGGTGGGGGAGAGTGGGTGGTATACCCTTAGAAACCTGGATGCCATCTGGGTTCATACCAAGGTTCTTATGCTTGGGCATAGGGAGTCAGACTGAAAACTGACACATGGGGCATCTCTGTGTTTCCGGTGCCTGGACCTCAGTCTTTGGAGATGTAGCATGTCCAAAGGCTAAATTATAGCCAATGGGCCTGATACTGACCTTCAACTCTTGACTCAGTTACTCACTACCCATATGTCCTTGAGCAACTCATCTCACCTCTCAGTCTCTGCAAAACTAGGTTCTAGCACTTACCTTGCAGGAGAGTTATGCTAAGGTACACACTGATAATCTCAGGTGCCTGACTAGAATAAAA